AAATGTCTATTGTACCTGCAAGTACCTTGGCAGTTTAAAGTTTCTGGTTCATGCCATATATGCCAGAATCTGATATGTATATGTTAGTAGTTATTCAGGGGTGTGGACATTTTTTAAAAAACTACTTGTACAAGGACTAAATTGGGGGTCCCAATCTACTTGTCCCTGATAAAAAAACATTTTTTTTTTTTCAGGATGGAAAATATGAAGGGTTGCTGTTTATTAGACAGAGGTGCTTTTAAAAATGAAAATTGCTTTATGGAGACCTAAACTTTTAATGCTTATTATTTTTTTCTAGAAAATGTCTTTCAATCCACAAACATTATATATATTTTTTTAAAGCAGAGGCTACAGAGAATAAATGAGCAGGTGTTGCAATTTTATGTCACACAGTATTTGCGCATCAGTTTCAAAAGCAATTTTTTTAAAATCAATATACTTTTTTTAATTTGAATGCAAAAAAACACAATATGTAACCCAGTTTTCTGGTGATGATGTTGGGCCAAGTAAATAGATACCAAACATGTAATGCTTTAAAAATGTGCCCGCCCGTGCAACGGCAACACATTATGTAGATTTTACTAAATATAGGTGACTATCCAAAAGCCTTCACCACTACCACTTTAGATTTACAGAGGGGGTCTGGTACTAGAATTACAGTCTATGATCTGACGTTCGCGATGATGCCTCACATGTGTGGGATGATTGCTGTTTGCATACGTGCAGGACTGACACGTGCATTCGACTTTGCGCGCAAGCACAGGGAGATGGGGATGCTTTAATTTAAAAAAAAAAAAATTGCATTTTTTTTTTATTTTTATATTGTTGCTTTGATTTTTTTTTTTTATCACTTTTATTGCTGTCTCAAGGAATATAAACAATAGCAATAGGAAGCGACATGTACTATTTATGGAGCGGTCATATTGACCCCAAATCCCTTCTCTGCCCTTAAAAGCATTTGATCACACCAAGATTGGTGTGATCAAATGCTTTCCATTTTGAAAAATGGCTCCAGGGAAACTGGAAGTGATGCATGGTTGCTTCCTGTTTTCTATATCATAGAGGTGGACAGAGGGGTTCCAATCTTTGTCTGCCTCTCAGAGGTGTAGATAGAACATTCAGAGCCCCATTGCAAGAAACCATGAAGGCCTTTCCATCGGTCCCGGGACCTTTCCCACTGTTCCTAAGGCCCTTTTATTGTGGTTCCCCAGTGGGCTCCTTTCCTGTAATCTTGGGGCCCTCCCATGGTGGCGGAACACCAGGGTCCGGTCGCAAGTGTGACCTTTGAGACCTTGGTAGTTCCGCCACTTGGTTAATTGTGTACAGTCACCAAGAATCTTCTAGCAATGAAAGTTTAATTGGTAGAAGATCCCTGGTGACAGGACGTGAGTAACCCTTTTATTGCTGACAGATGAGACCCCAATTGGAAGTGCATGATTAACCCTTTCAGATCTGTGTTGGAAGCGTATGATCAACCATTTCACTACTAACTGATTTCATATGGAAATGCATATTTCCACTAAGGATCTGCTAGCAGTGAAATGTTAATCATACATTTTCAACACAGATCTAAAAGGGTTAATCATGCACTTCCAAGTGGGGTCTCATCTGCCAGCAATAAAAGGGTTAACGTGTCCACTCACTATCTTCTAACAATGAAAGTGTTAGCATGTGCTTCCTGATCACTATCTCTCCACTCAGCTGCTATACAGCACACATACCAGTACTGCAGCCTTCTCTCAAATCAGCACTCCTGTGGCAAGGAGTGATCACCTCCGAGTCAGGCCTCACCCCCTCCTCGAGTCACACTCAATCACTGAGAGCCTTGCAGCAGGCTTCACCTCGGGGTCGGGAATGAGTAGGATGGTGGGAAGCCACCTGATCTCTGCTGGTGGATAAAGTACTGATCTGTTCCTGGCATGCTCTTATGTGGGTTCTGCCACTGCCACCTCTATGATCAGCTGGTGGAAGCACCGGCTAGTCGATCGGGACAGCCTGCGGGAGGCAATATGAAGGTGGGTTTAGCCGCGTCAGGGCTAAGTGTAAAAAAAAATGTCTTGCCTGGCACTCGGAACTGCATGTCCCGGGCATCGGGCGATAGGAATTCAACATTTCTGTTATCGTTTGTATCTTGTTGTGGACATTTCCTGGGAATGTTTTTGTAGGACATGTGAAATAACAGATTATGGTACTTATAAATGTGATCTTCTTCCTCAATTAAACTTGAGCTTATAGATATGATTTTAGCTGAAGGGTCCTCTTCACTAATGTAATTGATTAAATTTAATAGATGTCATGGTTATTTTGACAGTCATTTACCTAGTATAGACAAAAAGGAGATACAGTTGTGTTCAAAATAATAGCAGTGTGTTGAAAAAAGTGAAGCTCGAAATCCTAATAGCTTTTATTTCCATACATACAAATGCATTGGGAACACTACACATTCTATTCCAAATCAAAACATGAAGAAAAATATATCACATTTGTGTAGTTCTTCTAAAAAAAAAAATTGAAGAAAAGTGAATATTAGACTGTTCAGAAAACTTCTTTACAAACTCAAACATTCACAATATAAAGTGAAAAATGTTTGAAGATTTTGCTTTCCTTTGAATCACTTAATTAATATTTAGTTGTATAAGCACTGTTTCTGAGAACTGCTGTACATCTGGGTTGCATGGAGTCAACCAATTTCTGGCACCTGTGAGCAGGTATTCCAGCCCAGGATGATTGGACTACATTCTACAGTTCTTCTCTATTTCTTGGTTTTGCCTCAGAAACTGCATTTTTTGATGTCACCCCACAAGTTTTCTATTGGATTAAGATCCGGGGATTGCCACTCCATAACGTCAATCTTGTTGGTCTGGAACCAAGATGTTGCACATTTACTGGTGTGTTTGGGGTCGTTGTCTTGTTGGAACACCCATTTCAAGGGCATTTCCTCTTTAGTTGTCACGTACCTGATAGGAAACTGAATTGACGAGGTCGGCCTCACTTGTGTCACTAGCCCTGACCCCGCTGAGGTTGGAACAGAGGGAGTCTAGGAACCAGGGGGACAAGAGCGCCAGTGGTTGTTGCTTGCGGCTCTTGCAGGTGGTGACCTTGGTAGGCAGAGTATCCTTTGATTTGGGCACCGTAATAGCACACAGAGAAGGTTCTGTGTAGTGCCGATGTGCAGCAGAGTAAGGTAGGTAGCCAGGACACAGGACAGGAGCAGGGTCATAGGATAGCTGGGGTCATCAACCATTGGGCAGTGTGGTACAGAATCAGAAGGAAAAGCCAAAGTCAGGAGCAGAGCCGAAGTCAGGGAGCAGGAGAGGAACAAGCCGGGTAAGCAACAAAGGAATCGTACAGGAACAAGCAGGACAAGGGGGGGGAGCTGAAGACCAGTCAGCACTGAACTTGAGCAGAGGCCAGCCTTAAATAGCCCGTCTGGTGCCAATCTTCGAGGTGTGCATGCATGTGCACGATCTCGCATTCCTGTGCGCCTGCGCACAACCGGCAATTCTTCTGCAGAATCTCTTTCGCGCATGCGTGTTCCCGATCGCGATTCTTCTTGCTGGAAATCCCTTACATCAGCATAAGGCAGCATGACCTCTTCAAGTATTCTGATGTATTCAAACTGATCCATGATCCCTGGTATGCAATAAAATAGGCCCAACACCGTAGTATAAGAAACATCCCCAAATCATGATGCTTACGCAACCATGCTTCACTGTCTTCACAGTGTACTGTGGCTTGAATTCAGTGTTTGGGGGTCATCTGAAAAACTGCATGTACAACATTTGCTGCCTTCCTTCCTTAAATAAGGGCAATAATTGCCACCTGTTTTTCAAAGAATGAATGACCTCACTAATAGAACTCCACACTGCTATTATTTTGAACATGCCCCTTTCAATTAGTGATTCAATTACACAGAATCAGCAGCATGCATGTCATGACTGTTGGGTCTGTTGGATTTCTATTACTCTACTACACCTGCTAGTAAATTATTTGCCATGTAGAAATATAATTTCTACCAAAAACCGTGATTGATCAGGTTAGTGATGTCTGACTGCTATTATTTTGAACACAACTGTAGATAGCTATACGTCAGCCTTTTTCAACTAGGGTGCCTTCAGGTTTCTTCAGGGGTGCCTTGGGAAAACGCCTAAAAAATTTTCTCAAAATTGTATACAAGTCAATGAGTAGATCAAGCGTGCCTTTTAGTTAAACAAAGCCATAGATTTAATTGTGCATCATTACAACCCTCTAGCCACTGGTATCCTAACAACCAAGGAGGTCATCAGTTGATAAGGGGGTCAGCACTGGGGTCACATTAGCTGAGTGAGAGAGAGAAATTGAGGTAGAAATGTTTGAACACTAGTCAGTATTGGTGTGCAAATGTGAGTTTGCTTCAGAAGAATTAATCACCTCTAATGTTGGGTGCCCTACATTATGTAAAACTATTAGTTTGGCTTTTTACATTTTAGAATGGGGTGCCTCGAGATGCAGAATTTTAAAGGGTGTCTTGACTAAAAAAAGGTAGAGAAACATTGCTATACGGTACATTTTTGGAGTGCCTCCATTTCTTTAGGCATAACTGTATGGAGATAAACTCAGTTTACAAATTAAGCAGATTAATTATCGCATATAATGTATTTACATAGGTAATTTTGGTGCAGTATGGAAGATTAAAAGGTACCACATCATTTTTTTTCTTGTGATATAAAATGTAAAGGGAACTGTGCAAAAATGGCAGTGAATTAACCCACCTAGATGCAGATGTGTGATTTATGTGGGTAAAAGCGCAGTAAAACTAGTTACATTATCTTTCGTTTAATTGGATTGAATTAGGTTTTTTAATTTAAAATTTTAATGGAAATTTAACAGCTAGAATCCAAAACTTATATTTAATTCATTATGTAATGTGCTATTAATTCTGACAATGCTTGTAATGCTGGGCCTGTGGTGGTGTATGTTTAGGTATTTGTTACATTCTGAAATGCTTTCTTTTTGAACAGTGAAAGTGAAGGAAGGAGGAGAACGATTTCTTCCTGTAGTAATGACTCTTTAAACGCTAGCGGAACACCCCTCACACTGCGACGAATTTCGTGGCGTCAGCGGATTTTTCTCAGGGTAGCTTCACCAATGATCACTTCCCCCTCTGATATGCAACATAAAGGTATGTAAGCAAATGTGATGTGTATCATATTTATAACAATTTATTTTTAGAAGGTTAGATTCCATTACTTCATATCACATCACTCATGCTAGGCTGTGCATAACAGTGATCCATTCAGCTTTTAGATAAGACTTCCAACCAATTTGTTTATTCGTCTTGGGTGGGAGTAGGCTGAGCTTAAGAATATTATAAAACTTCCTACCTACATCTTGTGTTTTTCATCTGCATAAGATGTATTGATCATGCAGTTTCATGGTGTCATTTAACCACTAGGTATCCGCGCTATAGCCGAATGAGGGCTACAGTGCGGTTACCCAGTTCTGGGAGGGCGTCATCCTCCCAGAACGTGCCTGCCCGCAAGCCCCCAGGGGCATGCACCCGGCGATCTCCGTGATCGTTGTGTCCTACAGACACAGTTCATCACGTGATGAGGTAAAAGGCCAATCACAGAGGCCTTTTACCACGTGATCAACTGTGTCTAATGACACAGCAGATCATGGTATATATACAGTTGCCAGTTATCGACAGCACTTTCCTCATGCTGTCTTAGCGTGAGGAAATTACTGCCGGTAACTGGCAGCTGTCACAGAGGAGATCGGCACTGATCATTAGGGCACTGATGATCAGTGCCCTACAGTGCCGCCCATCAGTGCCACCCTTCGGTGCCGCCCAGCAGTTGTGCCCATCAGTGCCACCCAGCAGTGCCATTAGTCATTGCTGTCAGTCAACACCACCCATCAGTGCCGCCTATCAGTGACCATCATTGCTGCATATCTGTGCAAAATCATCAGTGCCTCCTCATCAAAGCCCACCAGTGTCCCCTCATCAGTGCCACCTAATCATTGCAGCCTATCAGTGCTGCCTATTCGTGCCACCTCATCAATGCCCATCAGTGTTGCCTATCAGTGCAGCCTCATCAACGCACATCAGTGAAGGAGAAAAATTACCTGTTTGCAAAGTTTTATAATAGAAACAAAGAAAAACATTTTTTTTTAAATTGTTTGCTCTTTTTTTTTATTTATTGTGCAAAAAATAAAACACCCAGTGGTGATTAAATACCACCAAAGAAAGCTCTATGTGTGTGGAAAAAATGATACAAATTTCATATGGGTATAGTGTTGCATGACCGTGCAATTGTCATTCAAAGTGCAACAGGGCTGAAAGCTGAAAATTGGCCTGGTCACAAAGGGGATATAAGTGCCCGGTAGGCAAGTGGTCAATGGCAGGTATGCACAGCCTCTAGTAGTATAAGCTTTAGTTCTTTACATAAGTGTGAACTAGTTCATACATAAGTGTACATCCAAATGAAGAACCATGTTTGCCCACACAGGCTGCATAGGTGTTCTATGCATTAGATGCAAGCAGCCCCATTCATGTCAATTGGGAACTCACACTTTCTGCGTTTGTGGGCATGTACTTGCACCCACATGGATATCAGATTTCGAGTAGTAGCTGTTTCTGTGCAGCTGCTGCTGCATCCCAGTTGACATGAATGCACAGAACTCCTGTCCATCCCTGCAGACACACACTGCCCTTTGCACAGGTGCACATTTAAGTACGCCCATGTGCACACCTAGATCTTCATATGGTGATGAAAATTCATATTGTTAAGGGAAAAAAAAGAAACTGCAATTCATACATACTTGCACAAATATTATTGTACATAGTGCTGGATTTATAAGGGGGCAAAAGTGGCAACTGCCCTAGGCCCCCCTGACAGAAGGGCCCCCTCTATGCAAAGATTATATAAAACAAGAATAAAAAAAAAATTCTATAATAATAAAAAAAATACTTTCCTTTATTAAATGTATCTTGGGAAGTAATATTTTGCAGGCCATCAACTGTCAAAGTTTTTACTCTGGACTAGTATATTGTATCATTTTGAAAAGCAAAGCCACACATACAGTGCTGTAACTGCATGTATGTATGCACGCATGACTGCAGAATGACGTTTTGTTAGGCATTTTAAAAATGTGTGACTGTCAATGGGAATGTAAACCAGCTCTGGGACCCCCCACCCGAACCTGAAGTGCCTCAAGCTCCTTAAGTTCTAAATCTGGTCCTAATTATACAGGTGGATTTTTACATACTGGCTGAACATGAGAGCACAAACTAAATGGTAGGGTAGCCTAATACCTTGTACACTGGACAGTTAGAGAGCAGTTAGGAAAAATTTGCAATTTCGGCTGATAAAAAAATGGCCTTTATCTGGGCAGCTTTTTTGATGTACAAAAAAAAAGAATGTTTTGTATCTAACTTCTGTTCACAAAAATCGGTGTTTTCATTTTCTGGAAAAAAATATTTTTTTTTTTTTTTATGTTAGCACTAAATTGTTTCAAGAGTAATTTAACTAAACTCCTATGGTAACTGTGGAAAAGCATACCCTGTGTATTGCATTCAAGTATTCTGAAAAGGATCTAAAAAAAAGTGCTTAGAAACAAGAAGTACAGACATGTTTATACATAAAACATAAAGAGGAAGAAGGAAGTGTGCTTTAGTGACAGTGTGTGGGATCTCCCTATATCAAGAGTATGCCATGCATGACTCGTAAGTCGGGTGACATGCCATATGATAAGCAGGTCTGACACTATGGAAAGAAATGTCCACATATTATGTTCTGATTGTTTCAGATCATTTAGATGGGAACGATTTGCTTCCATTATCCCCCCTTCCTCCTACCATGGAAGAGGACCCACTAGCATCTCTTCTTCAGGATGAAAGTACTACAGAAAGCACTGATGGAAAGAAAAATTCTGAAGATCTTCAGAGGTTATGGCGGAAGGCAATACATCAACAGATCTTATTAATAAGAATGGAAAAAGAGAACCTGAAACTTGAAGGTTAGTCCAGAATGTTAGCAGTAGAGCAGTAGTATTCAAACTAGCAAAGGTACTACATATTTCACAATACCGACTTTCTTTACATGTTTATTTTCTTTTTTCTTTACCACTGGTTTCCCAAGCAGCAACTTAGTATTGCTTCCAACTGTTCATAAAGAACATATAGCTCAGTATGTTATTTATAAATGTTTCCGTAGAGTCTTCCATCTATGTTGCCCAAATCAAGCAATCAGATTCTCCCTGCCGCACTCATTGTGCATTATGAAATGTACAAGTTAGAGCAAAGTAATGTTTATATAAAGTGAATGTAATATGATTATTCTTTTTCATGCCATCGAGGAGATTGCACTTTCATTAACAATACATATTATCATTACAGAAGGTAAGAAAAATCCTATAGATTTTATAGACACATTAAAACAATGTTGTGTGTTTTGATATTGTTTTATGTACATGAATAAATATTCTATAATAGTAATAAACTTTGTGTACGTTTGCTTTACTAATGCCTGATGTGCGTATACAATAGGTGGGCAAAATGCAGTAACCCAGAGTAACCAGTCAGGTGAGACCAGGTGTGAAATAAGTGACTGGTTGCTGCGGGTTGCTTGATTTTTCTGTATGCCTCACTGAGCATGTCTGTTTTTGTCATTTACTAAACAGTCTCAGAATTTAAGTGCCAACCTTTGTTATGGCAGAAATCGTACGTAGTGGGCTCATACCACCAGAAAAAAATAGCACAGTGAATATAAAGAGGAGAACAAACATAATAACTCAGACAGAGTGCAGATCACACAGCACTGTCACTTGAGATTTTTGCAGAGGAATCTACCCAATTATCCCAAATTTTAGAGACCTTATTAGGGCAGCCCCTAGACTAATATGGATATTTGTACAGTGGAATATTAGAGTTAACTAGATGTTTCCAAAAGTCAAGAGTGGGTGCTCCAGAAGCCTTCCACTTATGGCAATATGGCTTTGTGGGCATAGAATAATAATAAGCCTATTAATATTCTCATTGCTATGGACAAGACCCAAAACGCATACGTAAACAGTCAGTGGTACAGATATCTGTGTACATTTAAAAATACAGGTGAAACTCGAAAAATTAGAATATCGTGCAAAAGTTCATTTATTTCAGTAATGCAACTTAAAAGGTGAAACTAATATATGAGATAGACCCATTACATGCAAAGCAAGATGGTTCAAGCCATGATTTGTCATAATTGTGAGGATTATGGCTTACAGCTCATGAAATCCCCAAATCCACAATCTCACAAAATTAGAATATTGTGAAAAGGTGCAATATTCTAGGCTCAAAGTGTCCCACTCTAATCAGCTAATTAAGCCACAACAGCCGCAAAGGGTTCCTGAGCCTTTAAATGGTCTCTGTCTGGTTCAGTAGGAATCACAATCATGGGAAAGACTGCCGACCTGACAGTTGTGCAGAAAACCATCATTGACACCCTCCATAAGGAGGGAAAGCCTCAAAAGGTAATTGCAAAAGAAGCTGGATGCACCATTCCCAAAGTGCTGTATTAAAGCACATTAATAGAAAGTTATGTGGAAGGGAAAAGTGTGGAAGAAAAAGGTGCACAAGCAGCAGGGATGACCACAGTATGGAGAGGATTGTCAGGAAAAGGCCATTCAAAAGTGTTGGGGACTTTCACAAGGAGTGGACTGAGGCTGGAGTCAGTGCATCAAGAGCCACCACACACAGATGGATCCTGGACATGGGCTTCAAATGTCATATTCCTCTTGTCAAGCTGCTCCTGAACAACAAACAACGTCAGAAGCGTCTTACCTTGGCTAAAGAAAAACAGACCTGGTCTGTTGCTCAGTGGTCCAAAGTCCTCTTTTCTGATGATATCAACTTTTGCATCTCATTTGGAAACCAAGGACCCAGAGTATGGAGGAGAATGGAGAGGCACACACTGCAAGATGCTTGAAGTCCAGTGTGAAGTTTCCACAGTCTGTGTTGATTTGGGGAGCCATGTCATCTGCTGGTGTTGGTCCACTGTGCTTCAAGTCCAGGGTCAACACAGCCGTCTACCAGGAGATTTTGGAGCACTTCATGCTTCCTTCCGCAGATGAGCTTTATGGGGATGCTGACTTTATTTTCCAGCAGGACTTGGCACCTGCCCACACTGCCAAAAGCACCAAAACCTGGTTCAGTGACCGTGGGATTACTGTGCTTGATTGGCCAGCAAACTCGCCTGACCTGAACCCCATAGAGAATCTATGGGGCATTGCCAAGAGAACATGAGACCGCACAATGCAGAAGAGCTGAAGGCTGCTATTGAAGGATCCTGGTCTTCCATAATACCTCAGCAGTGCTACAGGCTGATAGCTTCCATGCCACGCCGCATTGAGGCAGTAATTGCTGCAAAAGGGGCCCAAACCAAGTACTGAGTACATATGCATGCTTATACTTTTCAGAGGTCTGATATTGTGCTATGTACAATCCTTGTTTTATTGATTGCATGTAATATTCTAATTTTCTGAGATTGTGGATTTGGTGTTTTCATGAGCTGTAAGCCATAATCATCACAATTATGACAAATCACGGCTTGAACTATCTTGCTTTGCATGTAATGAGTCTATCACATATATTCGTTTCACCTTTTAAGTTGCATTACTGAAATAAATTAACTTTTGCACGATATTCTAATTTTTTGAGTTTCACCTGTACATTCGACTACCTCATTCCAAAAGGACTAGATCCTTGGACATTGCCAAAAGACATGTATGAAGCCTGCTGGGTCTTCTGAGCAACGCTAGCACGAGGCTGAGAGAGTAGAATAGTTCCTATGCAACTTCTGTGGAGTAATATAGATTCTATGTAGTGTCTCGAATTGAATCAACCTATCTCTTGTGGATACTAATTGTTGCATTGGATATTCCCAAATGTTCTCCCAATCCTCTGAATCCATGTCTGGAGCATCTACAGTCCAGTTAGCCACCATCCTGTCCAGCCTACCTAAGTAGTTGGGTGAAGAGCTTTCTATACATTAAAGGGTTTAGCAAGGGAGTCGTCCCACAATAGGCTTTGCAAAGCTGACTCCTCAAAAACAATCTGACAATTTTTGAAATTGTGACTGGAAGACGTGTCTTAACTGAAGATAGTGAAATAGATAACTGTTAGACAGGACAAATCATGCTTTCAGGGAATCAAAGCAAATTTGGTTGAGATACTTAATTCCTTTGCCAGCCCACACCCCTGTGTGAGGAAAAGTAAATAATTCCATAAGATTAGGGTTATACCATAAGGGCTTATGAGGGGACCATGTATGGGATCTGTTAGGAATTTGAAGGTGCCAGGCTTTAATACGTGCTAATATAGAATGAGTAATAAACAGTGGCACTTTGATGCCTCTATACAGTAAGTTACGGAGTGCCTCATATGACCCCAGAAAGGCCGCTTCCAGCACCACAGCTGCATTGGTCTCATCCGAGAGTAGCCAGTTGTGAGCATGAGTTTGCAAAGCAGCACACTTGGACTTTTGAGGTGCCCCAAAGAGTAACATGCACAGAAATATATAATTAAAATTCAGGGAGAATAAATCCCCCTATTACACTTTAATAATAGCTTTGAATAAAACTAGACATAGTTCAGCTAAAATGCATACAGATAAATTACATAAAACAATTTTGTCAGAGGTGATTGTTGCCTAGATGCGCAGGCTAAATTTGACAGCACCAGCATGAGCTTGTTAACTAATAACTCTATGGTTATTTTGTATGCCTAAATATTTTTTAGTATTTATCAAGCCTGATATAGTAATCACTTAACTGAGAACCACTCTGACTGGCAAGTAATTATCGGTGTGGACCCTTGGGGGTTTATTTACTAAAGCTGGAGAGTCCAAAATCAGACTCCCTTCTGCATAGAAACCAATCAGCTTCTAACCTCAGCTTGTTCAATGAAGCTTTGGCAATGAAACCTGGAAGCTGATTGGTTTCTATGCAGAAGGGAGTCTGATTTTGGACTCTCCAGCTTTAGTAAATAAACCCCTTGGTGTCAGTGACAGCCAGCAGTTGACACTTTGCGTGGCTGCTGGCTCTTAAAGGAAAAGGGAGTATATTAATGCATCCTTGAAATGGGGCATCCTGCTGGGGAATATGGGGGGACATAATGTCCACATCCTGCCTGCTTTTCTACTTTAAAGACAATGGTGCATTTATTTGTATATCAATGTGGCTTAGTTGGAACATCTTATTTTTCAAAACTAAAATAGATTTGTCATATACGCAGCTTCTGCTTCTAAAATCAAATGTTCATGATATCTTTTTGCCTAATTTGATCACTTTTAATTTAAATACTTTTCTACCAGCAAGCAGAGATGAACTTCAGTCTAGAAAAATTAAACTGGATTATGATGAAGTTGGACTTTGTCAAAAAGAAGTTTCAAATCTCTGGGATAAAAAGTTAAACTGCAGAACAAAAATCCGGTTTGACATGGAAGAGATATATGCTACACTGAAAGAAGGTAAATACCCTTTTAACAGTACCTAGTAAGCTTGAAAAAAGACACACATCTGCTAGGTGTACTCAAGAAAGAAAACCTTCAGTTGATCGAGGGAAGGCAAAAGGGAAAAAATGTATTTCTAATCCCCAAAACTACCAGTTACTCCTTGTAGACACATTATACAATCTTATTTCTTACTAATGTTAATTGCCATTCCTATTTTTAAAGTTAGAAACACATGCAAACCTGTTCTGAATACTAAAGTTTCTAAAATCAGATCCTGAGGTGTAATCCACATGTTCACAGCTGTTACTGTAGAGAACCTTATCTGTAGGCAGAAGCTAATCCTCTTTTCCTCCAGGTGCAAAAGTGTCGTCCTGTCCTTATGGCCTTAAAGGGAATATTTCACCACTACTATACGGACCATTTATATAGTTATAAAAGTTGATCGTATCCCCTTTGCCTTCCTAAAGGTTCATACTCTAGCTGATGTCTTCCATGTCACTTATTAATTTAGTTGCCCTTTTCTATAATCTGTACATTTTTAAAACCATCATAACTAACAGTAAAAGAAACAGAAAAGAGTAACCCAACACGTTTATTTCTAATAAGCAAAGAAAAATATTGCACAATGTCCATTTTAATATGTTGTTCATATTCTAGCTATAACTAAATATGTGTATCTTTTCTTTAATGATTAGGGGTTTCAAAAAGCAAACGTGGGGAGATATGGCAGTTTCTCTCTGTGCAGTATCGTCTAAGGCACAGACTGCCAAGCAAACAGCAGCCGCCAAATACAACCTATATTGATCTTTTGAAACAACTTACTGCCCAACAACATGCTATCCTTGTTGACCTTGGTATGTAGACTTTTTTTTTTTCCCAGAATCATTATAAGCTAGTCCATCACAAGAGGTACTCAAGACAAAATGTATTTATTTGGTGCAAATACAGCAAATTAAATCTAAAGAAATCTCATATAATCTTGAGCATGTTATTTTGAAAGTTTTTAATCTTTATGAAAGCGGTTCTACAAGAATACACTTTCTTTTTTAAAACAATAAACATGTTATACTTACCTGCTTTGTGCAAGAGTCATCTTTTACTTCCTCTTTTGAGGTCCCCCACCTGCACTTTCCGTTCCTCCTCTGAGTTCCCCAATAGCAAGCTGTGTGCTATGGGGACGCTGATGCAGGTGCACTCCCGAGCTGGGCTGTGTGTGTCCATAGAGATACACAGTGTGACTTGGCCTCACCCCCCCATTCCCTCTTTAGAGGATTTGATTGACAGCAACGGGAGCCTTAGGCTTCTGTTGCCTTTGTGTCCTGTGAACTGACGGGCACAACGCAGGATTGAAAGTGGAGTCAGGTAAGATTGTAGGGGTATGCTGATGGGAGCTGATATTGCAAGGTCTTTTCCCTTTAAGGCTCAGAAAGCATTGATGTAAAAAACACCTTATACCTTTAGAGCCACTTTAAATCTGCAGCGTTCATTAAAACAATGTCTGATAATCCTATCATGAAAGCACTTGTTTTTATTTCTTGTTTTTCTGTGTAGTCACATGGGCTTCCAATGGAGACTATAAGGTCCCATGTACACTGCTGCTCCTAAACTGATGTTTTTGAGGCTTTTGGCAGTTTTTTTTGCCTAAGCCCCTGAATGCATCTCAATAAAAGCCTAAGTTACCAGTATTCATTGTACACACATGTTCTGCCATTGTCAAGATTGAAGATCAGTTATTTAGAGTTTAGATCCTGTTTACTTTCATTTACAGTAACGAAAGATTCATTTTAAATGTATCATATTTTGATGTGAAATATTTATTTACGAATTCACTTATTCAACAGGAAGAACGTTTCCAACCCATCCGTATTTTGCCACACAGCTGGGGGCTGGCCAGTTGTCTTTATATAACCTTCTTAAAGCATATTCTTTGTTGGACCAAGAAGTTGGCTATTGTCAAGGAATTAGCTTTGTGGCCGGAGTTCTTCTCCTACACATGAGTGAACAGCAAGCATTCGAAATGTTGAAGTTTCTTATGTATGACCTTGGTTTCCGTAAGCAGTACCGGCCAGACATGATGTCTCTTCAGGTAATTTTTTTTTAACATTTGAAAACAAAACACATTCAAATGGTTTTATTAACCACTTCAAGTCTGGACACTTTCACCCCCTTCCAGTCCAGGCCAATTTTCAGCTTTCAGTACTATCACAGTTTGAATGACAATTGTGCAGTCATGCAACACTGTACCCATATTAATTTTTTTAGCGTTTGTTTGAGACAGATAAACTTTTTGGTGGTATTTATTCACCACTGGGATTTTTTATTTTTTTTTTTCTATATAAATGAAAAAGTCCAAAAAAATTTTTAAAAGTGTTTTTCTTATAAACGTTTGCAAATAAATAATTTTTCTTAATAAATCTTGGCCAGAAAGTATTCATCTATCGTTTTAGTTAAAAAAAAAAAAAACCAAAAACTAGTTTGTAACCAAAAATTATAATGTTTCAACATTTTTTTTTAGATTTTTATTTAATTTTTTTTAATATTATTTATTGGTATTTTTTTTTTTTTAACATACTGTCACCCTAGCAGTACAGTGTCACCACAGTGACACTGTACTACTTGGGGGGGGGGTGATGGGAAAATACACATTAGCTTAGCTAAGCTTACTGTTTTGGATAGCACAAAAATGAAACCATCTTGTTTAGTTGGTTAGGAGATCAGAGAAGGACCCTGGAATTTCTTTAGCAAATATGAGGAAAACAAAAAACCAAGGACAGACTTTTTAGGTACTGAACAGACAACTGAAAAAAAAATCTATCAATTTTTAGTCAATACAAAGATAAAATAATATAAATGTGTGTATATATATTTTTTAATACTATACTTCACTTATCAGATTTGTCCCCAGCCTACACCTGTCTGCTTAAACAAAGCATGCATCTTTTAGTATAGTAGCCTATTGATCAGGTGGAGGGTTGGAGAGCAAATGCAACACATTGCATGAAACTCTGTTTCCCTTCTTTAGGAATATGAATGAGGCCTTATCTACTTTTTTTTATACATTCATAATTTTAATCAAGATCTCTATCATTGTACATACCTAATATATGCAGTATATACAAAACATTAAATCAGATTTTTACTGCTTAAAAACACTGCTTAAAAACACTCCTATGTTATGTTTTACTGATAGATATAGTTTATATACTCTGCCTTCCAGTTTCCTGAAATCTATACCTAGTGTGGGACAAAAAATGCATAATTTTTATTAAGTTGGTTAAGTTTTATACAGTTAGGTCCATATATATTTGGACACATACTTCATACTTTTCATACTTTTGGCTCTGTATGCCACCAGAATAAATTTAAATGAAACAATCCAAATGAATTTGAAGTGCAGATTTTCAGCTTTAATTCAAGGGATTGAACATAAATATCAAGTACAAAGTTTAGGAACTGCAACCATTTTAAATGGTTAAATAAATAAAATGTTCATTTTTAATACTTTGTTGAGAATCCTTTACTGGTAATGACTGCCTGAAGTCTGGAACCCATGGAGCAAAAACTGGGCTTCTTCCTTTGAACGCATGATGCAGGTTCACAGCAATAGATTCCAAATGCAAATACCACACTTCTAATCAACTCCACACCTTTTACATGCTTAATTGATGAAGAAACAACAAAGGAGTAGCCCACACCTGGCCATATAACAGCTTTTCATTCAATTGTCCAATTCCTTTTGGTCCCTTGAAAAAGGGGGGATGGCTACTCTTAAGAGCTGTAATTCCTAAACCCTTCCTCTAATTTGGATGTATATACCCTCAAATTAAACCTGAGAGTGTGCACTTCCAGCCCATACCCATTATATAACTATAGCTTGAATATGTTTTATTAAATACCTGCAAAAATCTAAAATTGTGCCTGTGTCCAAATATATATGGACCTAACTGTACAACATCTTATAGTATATAACAGTATTTAATGTTTGCTTGTAGAGGATTTATTGAGTAAACAGGAATAAAATCTTTGTTTTCTTTTATTTATGCCAGATACTTGGTATAATATAAGCGTCCTACAAGGGTATATGCTGCATAATTGGGTTCCCTTTTTCCTTGATCAACAATACCTCTGTGCTTGCCCAGGGAATATTTTTTAAAGATGCATAGCTTAAGTAGACAGGTGTAGGCTGGGAACAAATCTGAATATTGAAGCGATGGCATGACAATGTACAATATAATAAAAAATTAAATTAATATTTTAATATTATTTTATCTTTGTATTGAATAATATTGATGCATTTTATTCAGAATTGTGTGTTGGGTATCTTACAAGTCTGCCCTTGGGTTTTTCTTTTCTACATTTGACATGTGTACTCCTACTATAGCAGACCACTCAGCTCCAAATTACTTGCATTTATGATGTTCACACCTTCAGGTCTGGAGAAGAGGGAGGAGGTGTGGTAGTAGTGTTGGTACAAGTTTTGTAATTTGTAAATCTTGTTTCTCTTAAAATGTGCTTCTTGTAGGTAAGCTATTTGAATTCCCATTTACTTGAGATCAGAATCTAGTGGGGTTTTTTTTTAGGTTGTTAAGGCCCTTGTAGCTGTCTGTTGCATAATGCCTAAATAAGTAGGGTTTCACAGGGTGGGGTTTTGGTGAAGGGTGTCCAACATAGCATTGGTGGGATATAGTGAGGGTTGTGGGCTTAGAAGAGGGAAGATAGATGGTAAGAAGTTTGAAAAAAGAGGGAGGAAAAGAAAGGAGGAGCAGGGTGAGGGCGCCTCTAACAAGTGTTTGGGCTGGCAGGTATGGTAGAATAGGGGTTGGGATCTCATATTCTAGAATCCTGAGAGGGTTTAGTACCGTGCGCTATAAAAAAAAAAAAACATGACCGTGTTACACCATGCTGGTGTTTTTAAGATAAAGGACTGTTAAAATACAACCCTATATCAGAATTAGGCAGTAACACTACACCCATGTATCAGAGCATATCATCATCTTTTACAGTGCCACAATAATAATATGTTGACAAGGCTTAGAAGATTTTTGTTTTACAGAATTATGTCCTTTACATCTCAGTTTATGCCCATTATAGAAATATACGTGACCATTAGGGAGGCAGCATAGGGTTGCAACGTGTAAAATCTCACCTGTCATTTGAAATTAGCAGGATTTTACAGCACTTTGATCCTCTCCTGTATATCTTGAGGAGGGTCTGTGGTATATCCGGGTGCTGACATCACAGGAGTCTTCAGGGAATGTGAATAAAGAGTAAGCCGACTTGTAGGTCACCTAACCTGACATGTCTAATTCATGATACAGGATTCAGATCCAGAGCAGTATGTGATTTGCTGATTCCATGTGACATGTATTTTTTATCAACAGTTTTACTAGGAAAAAGTATAAAAAAATGCAAGCATTTTAAGGGTGTGTAATATTGGTTTCCTTTTTGGTGGCAGATTCAAATGTACCAACTCTCCCGGCTTCTTCATGACTATCACAGAGACCTCTACAACCATCTGGAAGAGAATGAGATTAGCCCAAGCCTTTATGCTGCTCCTTGGTTTTTGACATTATTTGCCTCACAATTTGCCCTTGGATTTGTTGCCAGAGTTTTTGGTAAGACTGCGGGTACTTGCATGTCATCCTGTTTGTAAATTGTACAGCTCATTGTAATTAAATTGTTTACAGGAATCAATTAAGTTTAGCACATTAGTCCTGTCATTAACTTTGTTAGGCTGCCCATAGACGAGTTAGTTTAGTTTTTTTTTTCAGTCAGCCAGCGAGTTGAACAAAATGACCCAATTCTGTCATCCACACACTCGATGTGGATGGAGGAATCATCCCTGCTGAGCTAATGTATTCTAAGAGTAGGGAGGCTATTGCCTGCAGCACTAATCGAGTGGGGAACATCCGACAGGGTGTTTGTACAGCAGCTAATCTGTAGATCGACTTCTGTAAAACCACAGTGTACATTCAAGGATTGAAATTCAGCCATTCCCTGCTGAACCAGCTGAATTTCAATCTATGTATGGCTGGATTTATTTTGAGTGTTTTTTGTTGCATAAAGGCTGTAGCCAGATCATGTGGCTCATGTTATACTGTAGTCATTATGACCATGATCACTATCAAAGTCGTGTGATTACTTATTAATCTGTCAGCTCTGTATCTTATTGCCAGACATTGTCTGAATGACTTTCCATCCAGCCTTCTTTTTTTGAAATTGAATTTCTTCAGACGCTGATAAACATGATGTTTTATCTGCCCTTGTGTTTCTAAGAGTGAAATCCATAGCTGTATTTTTGTGTTTTTGAGCATAGGATAAATGAATAAAAGGTTGCTTGTAAATTATCTATCTTTTTAAAAGCTAGAAAAGTCTGAAAAGTTTTTTTGTATGTACTGTAGCTGAGTTTTGGAACTTCAAGAAAGTGCCAAATGTCATAAATTGTAATCTTTACAATCTCTTCAAATTGAACTGTCTTTTCTTCATTTTGTGGGAGAACTGTCTTTTCATGGTCTTTCTCTTGATGTGTGAACTAGGAAAGCTACTGTTTGCACCTACCATGTCACACCTAAGGCAGAGAGATGGAGCTTAGTGCAAACAGAACTGTAGCATATTTTTAAAATTCCAGCTGCTGCCATATTGGCATATTGTTGACATGAATTAGTTAATACAAAAATAACAACGCTTATTAATCCTCATACATATTCACAGAATCCCACACTGTCAGTCCTGCATTTGCACTGATTTCCAAGTCCAAAATCTCCTTCCTGTTCTTCCAGGCTCAAATTCAGCACAATATCCCTTTTGCTAGGCTTGTCACTAATTGTCAAACATGCTTCATAATACAATGTGATACAACACATGCCAATCACACGGTTTTAAATCATAAAGACTGCATCCAGGTCTAATATATCACCAACAGTCCTGGCTCACATGCTTCCCAAGCCTTCTTCTGAGTCTCGCTTCAGCCTTTTTCTTGACCCAGCCTCACTGTCGATCATTATCCAGCGTTCCTTTTCACCAGCCCTGAACAGACAAACCTCTCTAGTGGCTGCAGAACCTCACACCTTCTGCTGCTCTCGCTCAGGGACTCTCACTTTCAAGCTCCCAGATAGATAGATAGTCTTTGGTGATTAATTGAGCCCAAAACTCCATTGAAGCAAGGCTCAACCTACCATATTTCTCCATGTAAAGACAGAGTATTTCCTTATTAAAGAAATGCTTTGGTGCAGAAGGCTAGTGTGAATGAAGTCTATGACTTCAACAATCAGTTGCTTTGTTGTATATGGACATTACCTGGACATATCATGGTTTCCTCCAATGCTTAAACTCCCATCAGTTTCAAAGCTACTGTTGTTATGCTAAAAAACAGCAGAGTTAGTGGCTGTTTGCCTATTAGTGAAAGAATTTAAATTTCTTGCCAAAAGTAAAAACTCCTTTAATAAGGCAAAAACTTTACATGGAGCAGTATGGTGGTTTAAGCCTTGCTGCACTAGGCAATATCTGGATGGAGTTTGAGTGAGGGCAGAAGAAGATGTGACGTTCTGTTACATAGTCTGGTTGATAAAAGACTTAGGTCTATCCAGCTCAGCCCAAAGAGAAAAGAAAACCACACTCACAAATACAAAATCTCCATATACACAATCCTATACCCACAATTGATCAAGTGGAAGGCAAAAAAACCCCAATAAAGCAGGATTCAATTTGCTCCAGTGGGGGAAAAAATGTCCCTCCTGACCCCCCAAGAGGTAATATATTCCCTGAATCAAATGAACCTATAAATAATATTATCCAGTTATATTTTGTGAATTTAGCAAAGAATCATGGCCTTTTTTTTTTAAATGATCTATTGAGCTGGCCAGAACCAGCTCTAGCAGGAATCTATTCCACATTTTCACAGCTCTTACCATGAAGAAGCCTTTTCAGTATTTGGAGGTTAAATCTCTTTTCCTTCAGACATAAAGAGTGCCTCCTTGTTCTCTGTGATGACCTTAAAGTGAATAACTCTACACTGAGTTCACTATATGGACCACTTATACATGTTGATCATATCCCTCCTTAATCTCCTCTTAGCATATAATGACCCTAGAGCAAGGTTGTTATAGCCCAATTCTTTCCTACTAGTTAAAAAAAAATAGCAGTCTTTTACTAAAATTGTTGTTTGGATATAAGCTTTTAAAAAAGACAAATGAAACATGCAAAATAATGATATGCTCTTAAAGGAAACCTGTCATGAAAAAAAATACATAGGTTGCCTTTGATTACATATTTATATGAAATACCAGTTGGCTGACTGTCAGTCTGAGCCAGTGGCTTTAGCCCTTTAAATCACTGACCTTGATCAAAAGATTGCTCTGGAGGTCAGCAATGGCAGTTCAAGTAGTGTTCTTATGAGAGGCTTCCTTTAAGTGGCTTCTACATCTCTGTTAGGGCCCAGTGCCAGCTGGGCTTTTCCTGTCCTGGATTTTGCGATTAGCACATTTCTTTGTGAGCAGAACTAGAGTAGAACAAAAGACAAAACATTTTTTTAAATATTGGATTGAGTAAGGGAGGCTTATAACCCATGTCAGGTTTCTTTTGTGCCCTGTGCCACCCACAGTGAAGATTCCCCCTCACTTCCTGTCCTATAGCCAAAACAGGAAGTAAGAGGAAATCCTTCCAAAGTGAGGGAATCCCAGGGTGTCACCAGAACTAGTGACCCCATTGGAAGATTTCCCCTCTGTTATTTTTTTGGTGTCAACCCCAAATTTTTTTTGTTTTTACTCTCACTTTTTGTGATAACTGTAAACATGACAAATAGAGAGGGTGAACATTTCTAATGGGGCACAGACCGCTATAAAAACTGAAAGGTGTTCTAATGCCTCTCCACTCTATCTAAAACTAAAAAATAAAGTTTTGCCTTTAGTTACACTTTACATTTTTGCTCACAGCAAATTCTTATGCTCGCAATTAACAATTATCCCAGCTCAAAGTTTGAACATTGAAGGATTATGAGTTTAGTAATGGTACTATAGTCAATGTAGATCATCTCGGAGTTACAAGGTTCAAAACATAGAGAACTATAACTAAGAATATAAAAATATTATTGAATTAGGCTCCATGCACACTGGGCATTTTGATAATGCTGGTAACGTTAGTTGTGTAAAGTCACGTTAAAAACGTGGGTTTTTTAGATTTTTTTAGCGTTTAGCAGCGTTTGCAGTTTTTTTACTGTTTTTTAGCGGTTTTTGGTTTTTTTTTACAAACATTTATTTTTTTGGTCATAAAAAGTCCAAAAACGCTGGTTTGCAGCGTTTTTACCACGTTTTATCACGTTTTTTAGCGCTAGAGCGTTTTTTACAGCTAAAAAAACTCCCCTAGAAACCCGCTAGTTCTGGGGGGGTTTTTTCCAGCCAAAAAACGTCCTTGCCATAAAACTTTGATTACAATCTAAGTGTGCATAGACACATAGGATAACATGCTGGGGAGTTTACTGGCTGCAGAAAAAAACATCAAAAGCCAAAAACAGCAGCTGTGAAAACGTCCAGTGTGCATGAGGGTTTAGTAGAAACCATTTAAAGTATGGTTAGAATTACCTTTTATTTAACATATTTTGTTAGCAGCAAATGTAAAAAACATTTGTCATATAAGCCAAAGCCATTTGTGGAGTTTTAAAATCTGAAACAGTTTTGACCCTACACTTTAATTTCCTTCCAGTACTGTTTAGAGAACTTCCAAACAATATAATTTTACTAGCAATTAGATTTTGCTCATTTAAAAATACCATTTTAATTTAACCTAAAATACTTTATGCCTCCCAAGCATTACAACCTCATTCAGCTGATACTTTTTTTTGGTTCAGTCTGATTTTATTGAATTATAAATGTAGGCACAGATAGAAAGTACAGAGTTTGGTAAGTAATAAAAAACTCCAATGTAAAATTCAATCACACAGATTCAGAATACAAAAGAAATCCAGAAACACAAAAAGGGTGCATAGTACCAACTTTGGTATCAGACTTGGTTGTATTGAAATGGTAAGGCTTCGTAAAGTTGACTTATGTGCAAGCACTTATGAAGGTGTATGCTGAAGGGATCATGGGTGCAAGGTATAAATCAGTGCTGTTTTTTGCATAGTGAATGGATTGGGTTCGGATAAAAGAATAACATAGATTAGAAAAAATGTAGAAGGAAATTGAAGGGTAAGGCAGGCATGGTAATGACAGGGGGGTGGATATACTCTGTCACAGCTGGGTAGGGATGGAATCGGAATCACTCTTAGCCCACGATAGAAACTCTGATGAGTAGAAGAACATAGACCATGTGCTTCAGGTGTGAGAAAACTGTTCTTACTTTCCTGTGTCAACAGTTGTTCTATACAGTCCACTTAGTTGGCCCATTCCCCAAGGGAAGGCTTAGTGGTCAATTTCCAGTGGTGGGGAATGACCACCCAAGCAGTGGCCATAAAGTGACGCAGGACATTTCTTTTTGCGGATTTAAAGGGTCCAGGAAGCATGGATAGGAGGGCTACTTTGGGGAGCTGGAATAGAGGTCCCCATCAGTTTACAGTACACATCAAAGATTTGTTGCCAAAATCTCTTCTTAGAGGACAATCCCACATATATGGAGTCTGGTGCCTTTGGAAGTATGACAGTGCCAGCAAGTGTCAGGTATTGATAGATTGCAGTGGTAAAGAATCGATGGGCACCAATACCATCTGGTTACTAATTTAAACACTTTTTCTTGGTTCTTGGTCGCTAGGGAGAGTTTATGGGCCAGCTGATAACTTTCAAAGTCAAACTTTAACTAAACTTTTCAGTAGAGTGGAAGATGTTCAGAACCTCCATCAGGCTTTTCTCTTTATGTCCCCATTATAGAGCTACCCCTTTACTTCCTGTTCTCTAGTCACTTGAATAGGAAGTGGATGAAATCTCTCAAACTGAGACACTTGCATCTATAAAAAAAATAATTTACTTTTTTTTAGTAAAGTGGGGAAACTTGACTCTGTCGGGGCAGTTCCCAACAGTTTCATCCTCTGGAAATACATAGAATTCTATTCCCACAACTCTGCTAGAAAGTGTTTTTATAACTGCTTTGCACATGCTATAAATAAATACATAATGTTCATGTGCAGCCAATTTTTTTTTTTCAATAATCTATTAGATAGGGTTAAAACTCCTTTCAGTTTTTTGCTGTGCTGTCTGTATACCTCATTTCTCATAAGATGAAGTTAGAGGAAAATAGTTCCCCTCTTAAACAGTTGCAATCGGAACATGTGTCCTCATTAAAAGATACATCCTCATCTCCTGTTCAGGTGACAACTGGAACTCATCACTATTGCCATCTCTTTATTCTACGGCGATGATAGTTACCAGGAGTATAGAGATGGTGAATCTGCTCAGAAGAGACACAGATAGTAAAACCTGAAGTTTTAGTCTGTCCCCAATCTATCTGAAACTAAAAATAATTTTTGGCTATACATAACTTGCACTGCATTTCAGCAATCATATGTTTGTACACGTTTTGTTTCCTCCAGATATTATTTTTGTACAAGGAACTGAAGTCATTTTCAAAGTAGCCATTTGTCTTCTCGGAAACAATAAAGAAAGGATAATGGCATGTGACAACTTTGAGAGTATTGTGGATTTTCTAAAGATCAATATACCTGATATGACAAAGGACACTATGGAGAAAATTATCACACAGGTAACCTGGTTTTAGCACAAATAGGATTGTGGCCAATTACAGTTTTCAGTGACTACATTTTGTTTCTGCAAAAAACAGTTTATCTTACCATAAATACTGTATTCTATTATAATAAAAATCTGAACTTTACCTATAACAACATGATAAACAATAATGTTCTTTAGCAAGGAACATACATAACACATGAATAATTATGCTACCAAAATTGGTGTGTTCTTTAAATTGCCTGCAGCATTGCTCCTTTTGTTCTTGCTGGAGGCTGCCATTTTGCTGAAGCCAGATCCCCAGAGTGGCAGTAATTCTTTAGGCCGTCAGCAGATCGGTATCTATATTTTCAGCACAGTACGTGTGCATGCCTAACCGCACGGTCATTGGCTCCTTTACATATTAATCACCGGGTCCTGGCCAGCGATTCAAGGCCAGGACCCAGCGATCGGCAGAGTGAGTGGCAGGAGAGGGATTGGTGTATGTAAACAGCACAGATATCTCTCCTGTCAGCAAAGCAGGGGATAGAAACCACCACATCCCCTAGTAAAACAGCACACAATACACACAAAATAACACTCCCTGGCAGACAGTTAACTCTTTGATCGCCCCAGGTGTTAACCCCTTCCTGCCCACTGTCTTTAGTACAGTGACAGTGCATTTTATTAGCACTGATTACTGTGTTAGTGTCACTGGAGATGTCAGTGGTAGTTAGTCAGTTACCACTCAGTGTCTGTTAGTGTCAGAATACCGCCGTACTATCACAGCCCTGCTATAAGTCGCTGATTGCTGCCATTGCTAGTAAAAAAAGAAAAATCCAGTATCTATACCATTGTTTGTAGACGCTAAATTTCCACGCAAGTGTATTAATATACACTTATTCAGATTTTTTTTTTTTTTTTTACCAAAGACGTAGCAGAATACATTTTGACCTAAATTTATGAAGACATTTGATTTTTTTTTTAATTGGATATATATTTTTAGCAAAAAGTAAAAAAACTATATTTTTTAATTTTTGGACTTTTTCATTTATAGCGCAAAAAACAAAAACAGGTGTGATCAAATGCCACCAAAAGAAAGCTATATTTGTATGAAAAAAATTACATAAATTTAATTTGTGTAAAATGTTGCATGACCACTCAATTGTCAGTTAAAGTAGCGCAGCACTGTATAGCAGAAAATGGCCTGGTCATGAATGGGGGTAAATCTTCCATGGGGCAGTTGGTTAAACAGTATAGACGTAGCTATGCCTGCAAAAAGGGACAGCATGAAGTGATCTAGCATCTCTACAACTCTGCTGCTCTGTTTGCCATGAGGAGCCCTACGTAAGCTACAAATCAGTCCTAGACAGAGTTTACACCAAAGTACTCCCAACCCCATGTGACAGCACTGTGGCTTGAGTGATGAGTTGCTAACCACCAGTTCTGTCAAGTGGAAGAAGTGAGTCACATGCTCCACCATACCTGCAAGTACAGGGTATAGCTCTTCATTGCTGGTTGCAAACAGCAGTGGGTGAGTATAGGCTGCTGTGGGGCTAACATTAAAGTGAACTTGTTACTGTATATAAAATATATATATTATTTTATGTGCCTGAGTGCCTGTATTTGTGGATAAATGATGCTGTAGTAGCTTTATAGTGAAGCATAAATCTCTTATCTGGAGACTACTTAGCTGCAGTAGACTGCTAAAACATCCACAGTAAACCCTTCTTTTAACATCCTAGCCACTGTAAGGATATAGCAGTACTAGAAGCCAAATATTTTCAGTGATACTTGCAGTACAATAGTTCCTGTCGATATCATGGAGGCAATATTCCTGAAATACGGGACTGCTCTGAATAGGTGTTACCTTTTTAATGTAGGTATTTGAAATGGACATTTCCAAACAACTTCATGCTTACGAGGTTGAGTATCATGTAATTAATGATGAGATGTTGGAAGCCTCTAATTCTTGCGATGACACAGAGTCCTTCCAGAAGCTTGAAAAGGCCAATAATCAGCTAAAAAGGCAAAACATGGACCTTTTGGAAAAACTACAGGTAAGCAGAGTTTAAATAGAGGGGAATTGAATGTACTATAGATCGTGCCTAGTTCTGTAGCATATATAAGCACATAAATAGGTACTCAAAAGGGGCTTATTCATTAAAGCTGATTTAAAAAAAAAAAAAAAAAAGAAGTATAGTCTACTTGAGCTGCGGACATTCCAGCTGGACATAAACAGGAGGGAACAGTTAAAGTAGTATTAAGCTCTTAACTCCTCGTCTTGGCCACATATATGCATATCCAAACAAAAACAACTGTGCCAAGAGTGCGCACCGTGCACGCTCCTAGCACAGCTACCAGCGGCTAACAGCTGCTGATCGCTCCATGCAATCAGCAGCCTTTTGATCATGTGACAGCTGTGACAGTAAATCATGGTGGTCACATGATCACAAACCCTGCCCCGCCTCCTGGCATCTAAAACCCCTTAACCACTTCCCGACCGGCCGTTGCATATAAACGGCCGGACGGTGGCAGTACAGGGTCGGGTGGCTGTTTATGAACGGCCTCCCCGCACCCTGCTTGTGCGCACTCCCTGGGAGCGCGCAGCACCGCGATCCAGTGCCCGCTGTGTCCTCCGGACACAGTGAAACACCGATCGTCGGACGGGACCTCTGTACGAGGTCCCGATCATGTGATCACTGATTGGCCAATCAGTGATCACATGCAAAGTAGTAAGCAAAATGTCACTTGTGACATCATTGCTTACTACTTGAGAAATCTGTGAATGATCACAGAGGTCACATGGTACAAGGCTATTCACAACAGCCTTGTACCATGTGACAAGCTGTGACCAATCACAGCTTACTCTGTATTTCTCAATGAGTGCAGGAATGCACACAGAGAGAAAGAGAAATGATTGCTTTTACATCCTATATGGGTGTAAAAGCAATCATTGTGTAAAAAAAAAAAAAAAATCTTCATCACCCTCCACAAGTAGTACAGTGTCACCATGGTGACACTGTACTGCTAGGGTGACAGTATGTAAAAAAATAAAATAAAATAAAAAATAATAATATATAAAAAAATAAAATAAAAATGTAAAAAAAAATGTTTAAAAAAAATTATAATTTTTGGTTATAAACTAATTTGTTTTTGTTTTTTTTTTTACTAAAAAGATAACGAAATACATTTTGGCAAAGATTTATGATGAAATATTATTTATTTGCAAAATTTTATATAAAAAAAACACTTTTGTTCAAAATTTTTGGACTTTTTAATTTACATAGCAAAAAAAAGAAAAAATCCCAGCAGTGAATAAATACCACCAAAATAAAGCTTTATCTGTCGCAAAAAAAATTGTAAAAAATTAATTTGGGTACAGTGTTGCATGACTGCGCAATTGTCATTCAAAGTGTGATAGCGCTGAAAGCTGAAAATTGCCCTGGTCAGGAAGGGGGTAAAAGTGTCCGGTCTGGAAGTGGTTAAAGAGGCAGGAGTTGGACAGCACCAGGGGGTTAAGCCAGTCATAGATGGATTGAAATTCGTCCGGTTTATCAAGGACTGGACAAATTTCAATCCATCTATGGGCAGGTTTTGAGAATGACACAAATATTAATTTTCACAAAGTCTGCTGCCTCAGTTTTTATGACGGCAATATGCATATACTCCGGAATGTTATGAAGAGTGATCAGATGAATTGCAATCAATTGCAAAGTCCTTCTTTGCCATGAAAATGGGTTTAATGCAAAAAAAAATAAAAACGTTTCCACTGCGTTTCATCCCGCTACAAAAGGACCAGCTGACAACAGCTGATACAAGGACAAGGCTGGAGATCACTCTTTCCTTTAAAAGGAGGGTGGTGCTTGAATCATTGTTCTTCCTCTGTTAACCTTGGTTACCTGCAGTGAAAGAAATGCAGTCATCATTGCTTTGCACTAAAAGGGATTCACAGGCAAGGATATTACTGCTATTAAGATTGCACTTAAATCAACCATTTATCGGATCATCAAGAACTTCCAGGAGAGAGGCTTAATTGTTGTGAAGAAAGCTTCAAGGCACCCAAAAAAGTCCAGTATGGGCCAGGACCGTCTCCTGAAGTTATTCAGCTGCGGGATCGGGGCACCACCAGTGCAGAGCTTGCTCAGGAATGGCAGCAGGGAGGTGTGAGTGCATCTGCTCACATAGTGAGGCAAAGACTTTTGAAGGATGGCCTGGTGTCAAGAGGGGCAACAAAGAAGCCGCTTCTCTACAGGAAAAATGTCAGGGACAGATTGATATTCTGAAAAAGGTACAGGGATTGGACTGCTGAGGACTGGGGTAAAGTCATTTTCTCTGATCAATCCCCTTTTCGATTGTTTGGGGCATCTGGAAAAAACCTTGTTTGGAGAAGAGCGCTACCACCAGTCCTGTGTCATGGCAACAGTAAAGCATCTGGAGACCATTCATGTGTGGGGTTGCTTCCCAGCCAAGGGAGTGGGATCACTCACAATTTTGCCTAAGAACAGCCATGAATAAAGAATGGTACAAAAACATCCTCCAAGAACAACATCTCCCAACCATCCAAGAACAGTGTGGTGATGAACAGCGACACTTTTCCAGCATGATGAAGCACCTTGCCATTAGGCGAAAGTGATAACTAAGTGGCTCGGGGAACAAAACATTGAAAGTTTGGGTCCATGGCCAGGAAACTCCCCAGACCTTAATCCCATTGAGAACTTGTGGTCAATCCTCAAGAGGTAGGTGAACAAACAAAAAACACAAATCATGACAAACTTCAAGCATTAATTATGTAGGAATGGGCTGCCATGAGTCAGGATGTGGCCCGAAGATGATTGACAGCATGCCAGAGCGAATTGCAGAGGTCTTGAAAACCAAGGGTCAAACTGCAAATATCAACTCTGCATAAACTTAATGCAATTGTCAATAAAAGCCTTTGACACTTATAAAACACTTGTAATTATACTTCTGCATACCAGAGTGACATCTGACAAAAGATCTAAAAACACTGAAGCAACAGACTTTGTGAAACTGTAATATTTGTGACATTCTCAAAACTTTTGGCCGGGGCTGTACAGTTGCCGATCTCTAGCCTATCGTTTTTTTTTTCCTGCCCATCAGAGCTGCTGGCTGTAGCCAACAACACTGATCATTGTATTCTGCTGGTGAGGGAACACTCCCCGCTGGCAGAATACATTAGCGCTGCAGGAGTCATGCCTCCATCCACCTCAAATGTATGGATGGGGAATTGGCAGCTTTTTTCCCCAATCCTCTGGTTAAATGAAAAATGTTTTTGAGTAAACCATTTGATACAATTTATACCCCAGCACTTTCAGTTCACACTTTCAATGTTAAAGCTGGCTCCTGCTCTGTCATGGTGCTCCCCTGAACCTTCAGCCTTTACAGGAAGTAGTTGACAGTGGACAATGCAGTCTCCAGCCAGTCTGTTAGCTTGGAAAAGGGTGAGGCTGAACATGCTTAAAAACTGAGGGTTTAATAACATTGTAAGCTAACGTACTCCAGTACTAGTTAGTTGAATGTCTAGCTTCAATGTGTTATGGACAGATAGTGCTACCTCTTGTTAATGTATAATTACTAACTGACCATAGAAACATTAACACATATTGATTGTATTACAGTTGTCTTTTTCAAAACAGTCCTCAGTTAGTGAAATGTATTAGTAAATTGAAAGACACAGATCAAGTGGTGTTCCTGTAAAAGCGGTTTCCTTTTGCTGAACAGCTAAAGCGTGCAACTCGTATAATAAAGCACTGGTAGCAAGGAAGGTCAGGACTTAGAAATGGGGCTGTAACATTGGGTCATGTTATTTTATATATTATGTCACATTAAATTCTTGTGCCAATGTGTAGGTCATAATTGCAAGCATTTGTCTGGTATTTAATTTTTCCATAAGCCAAGTATGTGTGTGTGTGTGTGTGTGTATGTCTGTGTGTGTGTGTGTGTGTGTGTGTGTGTATGTCTGTGTGTGTGTGTGTATATATATATATATATATATATATGCATGTGCGTGTGTATATATGTATGTGTATATATAGATATATGAACCCTTATCTTGTAAAACAACCCATTCAGTGTAAAATAAAAATTAAATTGCAAATAGATATTAAAAAGCCATGTCATGGATTTCACACAGAGGAAGCAATACTAAGAGAACAGGTTACGTTTTTAACACAAGTGCATGGCATAGCAGACACATATCAGGAATATGAAAGGTTGAAGTGACATTCTTTAATGGATGCTGCACCCTCCTAGAAGTCATTAGCTTGTTCTTGTTCGTTTTCTTTTCTTTCCATAATAGGTAGCTCACACCAAGATTCAGAATCTGGAAACCAATGTTGAAACAATTTTATCTCGAGAAAGCAAAATGAGAAACTTGATCCGATCTCTGGAACAAGAAAAATCAGCGTATCAAAGGGCTGTGGAGCAAATGAGGAAATACGTGCCAGCTCATGTACTGACAGACTGTGAACCTTTGCTAAAGGATCTTAACTGTAGCCCAAACAACAAAACAAAGACAGGAAGTAAGCAATAAGCATACAGCTAGTGTCGTTCTGGCACGAGGCAACGTTGTTTCCTAAAAACCAAAAGCAATTCATGCATGCTCTGATGGAGGACTGTGGACTCAATGCATGATCATGTACTTTCACCGGTGTTGGGGCTTTTAATGTGCACAGATTTCTTACGACTGGAGTAGCCTACAGCCTTTAATTAAAGTCACAAAACATCATCAGATTATTTGCGGAGATGGCCTCTGTAATTTCTGTATGCAAAAAACTGGTCATTGCATACAGTACTAAAAAAGGGAAAAGCAATTTGTTTTCATGTGTACATTTCCAAGCTGACACTTGAAGTCACCAATCAGAGATGAGACATTTATGTATCAACCGTCCGTTTCAGATAACACGTCATAGGGAGAGTAACAATACTTGAAAATGAATGATGTTTCCCAAAGAACAGCATGGTTCACACATCTGGTGTGGATAGCTTGTATGAACTGCTATTTGTGCCTGTCATGATTCCACTGACATTTTATTATACACATGTAGAGTTTTTTATTAAGGAATCACTACATCATGTTTAATGAATGGGCAACATATTGGTTGCCTATAATTTGTGTATTTTCATTGGCACGGTTATAATGTTGGCTAGAAATATGCCTCCAGCACTTGTAATAAGGTCAGAATTTCATAGCAACTTGTGTTGGTCACATCAATAAAGTTTTATGAATTGCCCCCTTGAAGTTTTACTCCTGCCACAAATGAATGATGAGAAAATACCTGGAGGAAAAAAAAAGGGTGTTGTCCATAGTAACAAGATTTTTTCTGACATATGTCAAAAATTCTAGATAAACCACAAATTTCTTGTCTTTCAGTATTTGGTTTAGGGTAGCAGTGTCCATATTAGTCTGCTGTTGAACTTGAACTTTACAGAAGCTAGACTAAGTAATGTTAAAACAAATCTATTGGTAACAGAGGTTGTATTAGCTGGTATCTTATAGTGTAAATGCTAGTTTTGCCTGGATATACCCTCCAGCACTGCTCTCCTCAAGTGTCAACACTTCCTAGCAGTGGAGCGAATTCACGTCCCCAATCCCTCAATGTAGTGCTTGAATGGCCTATCACAAGTCCTGGTATTTCCATGTCTATAAATATGCAAATCATGATATTTGAGAGAGTCCAACTTTACATAGTATTTAGGACAATGAAGGGTAGTGATAGGGGTATATTCAGACAGCTTATGCCGTCCACTACCAGCTGAAGATCTTAGGTATATGACCTGTGTTACCCACAGGTATGAATTGTGCATCAGAACTACAGGAGCACTTAAGTGTGTTTTTTAGGCAGTCACGGAGAATGCAATCAAAGCCAAAACAGATTTAAAAAAAATTTAAGATTTTGCATACGCATATGGGCACCCCAATTGTGTTATCTGGTTCAGATTTAAAATGGGTGTATACATGTTTGGTGGCAGCGAGTACCTAAAGATGTAGTAGAAAACGGGGTTGTATGGGGTTTTTTTTTTTTTTGTTTTTGTGTTTTTTGTGTTTTTTTTTTTTTTTTTAAACAAAAATATGTAAAAATGCCTCCTAAAAATGCCTATAATTATTGCTTATTAATAATGAGGCAAGCAAAACCGTTAAATATGATTCTGAATAAAAGACTTCTTGAAATTTTGAGATGTGAATCATGAAGTCTGAAATCCATTTTTTTTTAGGAGGGTTTTATTTTTAACAAAATCAGATTTTGTAAGGGTTTTATACTTTCCAAGAGGTTATACACAGAGATCTCTAGGTTTTTATGGATGGAGTGAAATCCATCTTTGTCTGGTATACAGAAGTTCCATGAAAATGCTTCTTTTATAGAGCAGAAGTAGAGATATCATCTGCACACAAAGTACATTAATATAAAAAGGTACAATGGAATTTGTCATTCACCAATATTAGGATACATATAGCTACAATTAACAACTGCAAAAACACTGTTAAAAGTCAGGGGACTATACAGGCATGGATTAACATGTTGCGTACTTCTGACCTACAAATCAATGCAAATTAGACCAGAGTTGTAATTGTTTTGTTGGTAAGCATAATACATGAATGTATTATATTGTTTTATGGTAACCTATAAAGAAACTTTTATGTTTGTTTCTTTTTTACAGTATTTTATTGTTAGCATACAGTTTTAAAGTAAGTCTGTACTGAAGGAAATATAAAGATTGCCAGTGCTGACCTTGTTCAGAAAGTGCTGGTTGCCTAGCTTTTTATTGTCTAAACCAGTAACCCAGGACAGGTATGGCAACCTTCATATTTTACTTTTTACTGAACCTTAATGTATCTGTTGCAAATCTCCACAAAGGGGATGCAGACAACAATAAAAAGGTTCCCCCTCTCCTTATCTATTTAAAAATTAAAGGATTTGTGGCTGGAATTTCACTTTAATGGAATGTATTCTATGTAACTGATTAGTTATGCTAGCCCATTCAGTTATTTAAAACATCTATAAGGAAGTTCCCTGCTATAGAAGTGTTATCTTACTCGTCTCTGGCAGGCTATGGCTCCTACCTTCTCTTAGAATGGAACCACAGCGTTAAATGCTGAAAACTCTGACTAAGGTTGCAACGTTGGAATGGAAGGTAGGGGAAATGTTCTCAGATATGATAGCACTTATGCCACAGTTAACCTCCTTTTGGAAATTGTTATGGGACTGTGATGGGGTCACTGAACTGGGAACAAATGTACAGGTCCAGAAAATCTTTATCTGCATATTTATTTCAGGTTAAAGTATTTGTTGAGCTGTATTTTTTTAATTAAAATAAACATGGTATGGTTACCTGCTCTGTGCAAGGGTTTTTGCAATGAGCAGCCCTGATCCTCTTCTACTGGGGTCCCCTGCTGGCACTTCTGGCCCCTCCTCTTCAGCCCCACTTTCTATGGGGGCGCTCTTGTTTGCTGCATCTATACACACACACAACAGCACAGCTCTAACCCACCCCCCTACTCCCTACTCGTTTGTCACAGAATTTGATTGACAGCTGTGGGAGAAAATGCCTCTCAATCTGTCCTGTGAGGAGGGAGAGAATGGACAGAGTTGCTGCTTTTGTGCACAGTGCAGGATTGAGATTGGGCTTAGGTAAGTATAAGGGGGTGAGGGGGATATCCTGTGGCACAGAAGGTTTTTACCTTAATGCATTCAACCTTTAGGCTTTAAAACCACTTTAGTGAGCTTCAAAACAAGCAACCGATGACAGCTCTCATATTCTGACAGATTATACATTGCCCTCAAGAGGATAGTCAGACCTGCAGGCGTAATCTGGCCATTATCAAGAAAAGAGCTGCAAAGTGGAGCAAAAACCTACAAACTCAGCTTGACTCGCCTCTAGAGAAAGGGACAAAGTGAGGAGAGAGAACTGTAAGGGACAATAGCAGTTATAGCAGGTTTCTTGCAAAGTCCTGCAGAGATGAGATCCTGGTTTGATCTGTCTAGAACCAACATCTATCATATCTATGGGTCACTTAGGGTTACTGCACATGCACTTTTAAAGAGGATCTCACTTTTGGGGGCAAGGGAGTATTGAGCTAAACAGATCAGTTCACAACAAGTTCTTGTTCACTGATTTTCATTATTCCATCTGTTAGCTCCCTTGATGTCTGCATGCAGGTCCATGCAAACTCAGCTTTAGCATTATACATTTCTTTCAGTACTAGTATTCTGATGTGAACATAAACAATTGTTTTATGTGTGATTGAGCTGCCATGGAAAGAGCCTTTCCCTGACTGAAAGAGGAATTCAGGCAATTTTGCAAAAATTAACAGTAAGCAGCTACAAAACTGTAGATGCTGACTTTTAATAAAGAGACACACATCTGTTCAAGGGTCCAGCACTGTCCTCACCCAAGCCGGTTCTTCACCAGTCTTTGAGTCCCCAGCGCCAGCATTTTAACTGTGGGCAGCCAGCTGTAAAGCCACAAGAATTCACAGATGTGAATCCGTGTTGTGCTTTCTGAATGGTCCCACAGCCTTCTAGGACCTCTGACATGTCCCAGAAGGTTGTGGGCAGGGAGGGGGGAAGAAGAACTTTTGGTGGATCCACCATGGCAATCTGACCAGAAGTGAGAGTAGGTACCTGTCAAAACTAGGTCCCTGCTTCCCTTCCAGTCAATCACAAGCAATGAGCAGGGGATGGGGCCAAGCTGCGCTCTGTGTCAATGAAAACACAGAGTGCAGTTCAGGATCAACCCTGCATCGGTGCCCCTCATAGCAGGTGGCTTGCTATGGGGATCTCGGCAGGGGAGAGGAACCAGGAGCTCCAGCAGGGTATGTGAGAAGAGGAAGATCGGGGCTGCTCTGTGCAAAAACCATTGCACATAGCAGGTGAGTATGCATAGTTATTTCTAAGAAAAAATAATAGGTTTATAGTCAAAGGAAATTATAGCTTACAATTGATGCCCTCTTAAAAAAACCCAAAACAAATAGTTGCCACGTTATCATTTTAATCCATTTGCTTCACTATCTTACAAGTTGCTGACCAGGTTAAAAATAGAAAATTCTGACTTGCTGTGTGGTTATTTTGGGACAGTAATTCACAAGGAATCAGTTCCTTTGAATCAGTATGACAGCCAGAGAGATACAAGTAGCTTTATCAGAATTAAGCTACAGATTTGCTTGAACACATGATTCTGAATGCTACATGTTACGTGTTGTATATTAGATCACTGACTTGATGAATGCAGTAGTGACTTAACACTGCACTAATGTGGATCCTATGAGTTGAGGAATGGTTGATTCCAAAAGAACCTAATACCATAGTCTTTTTTTTCTGTATGAGAATTTATCTTGAAAAGTTCACTTAACACAAAAAACGATACAGTATTTAAGGTGAACAGGTGAAATGTTATGGAGTGAATCATCCAAATGCTTTGGAATGGCTTTGAAACTGCAGTAAAGGGATTTCCTTAAATGTTGTGGGCTCGGAAAGTAACATTGCATTGCTGCTTTCAGTGTAGTGTACAATAAAAAAATAGCTTCATAAGGGA